GGCGGAACTCTAACGACATTCCCAAGAATCTGCAGCCAGCGGTGTCCTCAGATCTGAAGACAGCGGCCCCTCCCCGTGAGCAGGACGTGGATGCTTCGCTCGGCCGCCCGTTGGCCACAAGCCCCGGTCGGAGCACCGCCACGCTCGCCGGGCCCAGGGCGCCTCGCCGCTCCCCGCTGTCCCAAAGACTGGCGAAGCTTCCGACCGCCGTGAGACCGTCAAGGGCGATGGGCAAAAGGCTTGTTTATCTCCTGAAACCAACGCCTGCTATTACCTCTGGCCTTTTAAAAAAGGTTTTATTTATTTATTTGTAGAGAGGGGGGAAAGGAGGGAGAAAGAGAAGGAGAGAAACAGCGATCGGCTGCCTCTCAAGCACCCCCTACTGGGGACCTGGCCCACAACCCAGGCAGGTGCTTTGACTGGGAATCGAACCGGCGACCCTTTGGTTCTGAGCCGATGCTCAATCCACTGAGCCACACCAGCCAGGGAATCCAGGTCTCTGGCATTTTTGAGCATTGTCTATTCCATGAATCAAGAGCAAAAAAATACTGGGAGTGCGCAATTTTTAAAAAAATGATGTTCTTTATAAAAGGCAACGTTGAGCAAAACGGAACAGTGCTGAATCCCCAGAGCTCCAGGACGCAGCAGGAGCCTCCGCATCCGAGCGTGGCCTCGGGGCGGCCTCGGAATGGTGGGAAGCTGCCTTCCGGCACGCTGCGCTTCGCGAGACGCAGACATGCCGCGAGGCCGCGACTGTGAGACAAACGGCTTCCCGAAGTGTGTTTCCCTTTCTCACCTGCAACGTAGGAATAGAGTGCCTTATCTTTTCCTTCTGTCCTCGGCGCTGGCCGTCACGCGGGGCTGACTGTCAGGGTGAGCGAGGAGGGTGTGAGAGTGGGCCGTCTCAGGGACGGTGGCGTCCTTGTCTGACCGTCGACAGACACGAAGGGATGTGTTGCATAGGAGGCGGAGGCCACGCTCGCGTTGCCCCGTTTCTAGCGCTTCATTTTCACACACTCAGCACGCACTGTCTGTCCATCTGTCAGTCTGTCCGTCCACCCCTCATCCGCCCATCCCCCCACAGGTCCATCAATATCCATCCATCCTCCATCCATCCACCCCCACCCTCTCCTTGGCCAACTCTGCCTGGTTCAACACTGTTGGGAGCAACGCCTTTCTCTCCTGCTGAGACACCGACAGACAGAGAGGGGCCACCAAAGCCCCCTGGACCACCGCTGCCCTCCCTCCAGACAGCTTGGCTGGAGATGAAGGCAACAACCGCAGCTTCAACTTGCCTGGGGGATGCACTGGGCCACGGTGGACTCAGAGCCGGAGACACCCTGAGACTCCCGTGTTCCCCCTTTACAGACGAGGAGCCTGAACACTGGTTTGACTTACGATGACCGCCCCGGTCCCCAGCCTGGCACCGTCTCCGTGGCACCGTTGTGTGACCAGCTGTGCCTCAGACGGGCTGGAGCCTCGTGTGGACGGGAATGCCCTGATCCTCTGGCCACTCTATGCTCCGAAGGCCGCGGCATCTGCTCCATGTTGAGGGGCACTCAGGCGCCTCTCTCTACCACTGGGACCTCTGTGGGGACGGACACTGGAGCGTCATTCCATCCTTCCCTCTGCGTTCGGCAACCTGCGTCCGGCCTCGAGGCCGACGCCTGCTCCTCAGCTCCCCCCCGCCCCCCCGTCCTTTCGTCCCTCTTGAAGGTGCTGTCTAAGCTGCTTTGCGTCACTGTCGTTGAGATTTCCCCCGCCCCGACGCGGGCCACAGACATTAATAAACCGCCTGTTTCTGCCTTGTCCAGGCCTTTCCCAGCATCGCGGCTGGAAGCGGGGTGGGTGGCGGTAACGGTGTGCCGCCCCCCCAGCTTCCCGCGTCCGATGACAGGAGGGCATCGCGGGCTAAATGTTTTTAATGTTTGCTTCTCCAAACGGTACCAGCACAACCGAAGGCACCTCTGTGTTCAAGAATCCAGCGACATCAGGTTTTCTGGCGGCTGCGCTTTAAGGCGATTCGCCCGTCCTGCAAGGGTGTGCTCGGCTCGCCCGCGCCCCACGGCCTTTCCCTTCCGGGGGGGCGTGTGGGGACAGGGCACAGGTAATGACACGCACAGGTCCCCGCGCGGGGAATGTTCTCAGAAGAAGACTGAAGCGAGGAGGGGAGCTGGGCTGTGAGTGTATTTGAGGGCACCCGGGGCCCGTGTGCCGCTGGAGTCCCGGGCAGAGCCCCGAGAAAGGGCAAACCCAGCACAGGAGCCCCAGGGGCAGGCGGCGTAGAGGCTCGGCGTGGCCCCAGCCCGCGGGCGGGGCTTTCGGCCGTGGTGGAGGTTTGCCCGGTACCCGAAGGCATCGGGAAACCGCAGGGAGCTTCTGCGCAGAGGGCGTGCGCTCTGCCCCGGCTCTGAGGTTTTTCTGGAGCGTCCTGTTTGGGACGCCATTTTGAGGTGGTCAGGAAACGTATCCCCAGCCCCCGGGAGGCAGAAGAGGTCGCTGGGCGCCCTTTTAGCGCAGGGCGCGGCTCTCCACCGACGGGGCGTCGCTGCTGGGGGTGGGGCGGACTCCCCCAGAGCTCACAGTTGAGGGACCTGTTGCATCCCCACCCCAGCAAACTACCCCGCTTACTTCTCTCTGTCAAATTGTTCCTCTGCGCTCGCGTCTCCAATGCCCTCTGCACTGGATCTACCACCTCGCGGCTCCCTCGTCCGCGGGTGAGTGTCCCACAGCCTCTGACGCACGCTCACCTGGGCCCGTCAGACCGGCGGCCGCGGACCTGGTGGGCGAGCCCGGCGGCCCTCCCAGCCGTGAGACGCGCGGCTCCCACGAGCCAGCCCCCTGCTGAGCATATTTTGTCATTTAATTTCCACGACCGCCCGTGAGAGGAACCACGGTTATTGCTAGTATTCATCATCATCTTACAGAGGAGGATGCGGAAGCCGGTCCAGGACCGGACAGGGTCCGAGCCCAGACCGTTGACTGGAGACCCTTCGCTGTCAACCGGTGGTTCTCAACCTGGGGGCACGGGGCAAGACCGGAGACCTTTGTGACGGCCACAACGCAGCGGGGGGCCCTGCCGGCGTCCCTACACACTCTGCAATGCACAGGACACCCCCGCGGTGCACTCCCCAGGCCCCAAATGCCGATGGTACAACACGGCTGTGAGCCAGGAGGGCAGCCCCCGCCTCCCGCGGCCCGCCTCCCGCGCGCAGTCACCCGCCTGCTCCGTCGGATTTCTTCCAGTCTGTCACCCTCCGCATCGCGGCCTCTCGGCTCCCCCCGCCCCCCGGGATTCCCGTCCGATGGTTGGCCAATAATAGACGCTCGGTCACAGCCGCTCCCGGGTGGTCTACGATTTCTGATACATCTGTGCTCACCTTGAGGAAGCCCTCAGGGTGGGCGACAGAGAAGCGGGGGTGACCAAGTGTGACCGTGACCTACGGCCGCCTCCGATGGCGGAGGAAAGGCGTCAGGACCATTAGCTCAGGGAGGGAGAGCGAGCGGACTGAACCGTGAGCTCCGACGGCGGCTAATTTTTCATTGTCCTTGAAGCTAATCAAGCCTGCGGAAACAGCACCGCCAAATTGACTAAACGAGATTTTCAATTAACTCGCACAGATGGCTTCGATTTTCCAGGTGACTTTCCATATTAATTCACAGAGTGTGCTGGACAGGACCCCGGGGGGCTGCGGGGAAGGGGCGGCGTCTGCGGGCCGTCAGCGGGGGAGACGGGGCAGCGCGTCGAATGCTTCTTCTGACCCAGCACACGTATCGCCAGCCCAGCTGATCGGGTCCCCTGACCGGTGCCCACAAAGGCCCAGTCCCCAAGGAGGGGCCCTACGGGAGTCGGGCCTGGGACCGGCTGCCTGAGGGGGCATCCGTCCAGGGCAGGGCCGGAGGCACGGACCTTCATGGAGGGTGGTCTGTCCACCCCAGGGCCTGACTGCATTTCACGTCTCGCGGAGGAAGGAAGGGTTGAAACGCCCCGGGGAATTTCACAGTGACCTCCGGCTTCTGGGACGCAGGCGGATGGCAGATGGGCCGACAGCAACACCGTTCGCAAAAGACGGCAGAGCCAAGCGCTCACTCATCCAGCCTGGGCTGGGCCTGGGAAGCGGCCCCTGTCCTTCTAGAAGCTGCCGGAAGCCACTAATCACATGGGGGTTTTGTCATTGGATAGGAAAGACCCAGGCTAGAGTCGGGGCAAAATCTGGGTCGGGCATTTGCCGCGTCTCGGAAGGAATCACTCTTGGCTTCTCGAGCCTGGTGAGGGACAAGCAGGGGTCCTGGCGCACGAGGGCCCGGGACCGCCCAGCGCCGCGATCTCCTCTGCCTCCCCCTCAACATTCTCACCAGAGAGGTGTCATGGCGACGTAACTGGGCCCTGGGCGTTCCTCCGCGCCCCAGGCTGCTCGAGCCTTGAGGCAGCACGAAGCTGATACGCAGGCCACTTCACTTGGAGAGATGCTCCTCTGTGGCTTTGATGAGAAAATAATCCGCCTCAACAAGGCGTGCCTCAGAGCAGGAGCATTATCTGTGTCAACGTGTTCCTTCCGCCACGCGGCTGCTGCCTCGCCATCTGGGAGGCTTGGCTCACGGAAGAGGAATCACTGCTCGGATCCCGGAGCCAGAAGGGGACGCGGTGCCCTAAAATCACGCTCTGAAAATGGGGCGCCAGAGACAGGAAGTCCGAGGGCCCGGATTTTCTGGGAATGACTGCATCGGGCGCCCCCTGCTGGAGATGTGTGGTCGGCCGGGGAAACTTCCCGGAGAGGGTAGGTGAACGGACCCTCCTGTAGGTGGGAAATGGCAGGACTGGCCTGACTGTTCCACTTTGGGTAAACAGGCGCGTAAGGCACAAGGAAAACTTCAGACGATTACCTTTCTCTTGGAGTTTTACGTTGGCTGAAAAAGACACCGGAGAGCATGCAAATCCGACACTAACCACTCCTCTAACGACCCCCGTTTTCTAACACAGCTGAGAGAAGGGGGCAAACCTCATCCGCGGGTCGTCGGGCGGAGTCATCTCCAGGTCGTGGGTGGGTCCGTTTAGGCCGATGACGTGCAGGGAGATGGTGGGGTTCTCACAGCCGGCCTGCGAAGGACAGAGGGCGGGGGCGTGAGGAAGCCCCACCCCCCGCTGGCCTCCCCCGGGCGGTCACGGCTCGGGGGCCCTGGAACCCTGCGCGAAGGAGCGGAGCCACTGCGGGCGCTCGGTGCCGGCGTGGACGCGAGGACACGAGGTGAGCGAGCCGGCCGAGCCCTGCCCTGCCCAGGGGTTCCCCCCCGCCCCCCGTCCGTCCTCACTGCCCCTGCCCCCCGTCGGTCAGCACCAGGCGAGCGCGACTCCACTCGCTTAACCCCCGGGGCCGGGAGAGGAACTAGACATGGAGAAGGAGGGAAAATCCCAGAAGTGGGGAGCGTTCCTGATGCCGGTGGCCGTGGCTCCGCGGCGGGAAAGACAAAGTCCTCTCAAAGGGACGGAGCCTCCGCCCTGCTCCTGCCGGCTCCCTCGGCCCTGGGGTGGGGTGGGGGGGCCCGCATGGGGGTGGCGGACGGTGTGGCCTCTCCTGGCCAGTGAGACAGGGGCCGGCCCGCCGCGCTCACTTCCTCTGCTCCCCGGGAGGAAGGCAGGCGGCGCGGGAGGAGTTGTGCCCGCGAGCGGGCAGAACCAGGCGGCCGCAGACTTGCGGTTCTGCCTCGGGAGAAGGCGTGACAGGCCAAGGGCGCTGCCTTCTGCCGGCTGCGACACAGCGGCCTCCTACCAGCGCTCAACGCCTCCAGCCGCGAGGGAGCCGGGTCCCGCAGGTCCGGGCTCCAGCCCGGCCCTGGGCGGCTGTGAGGTCGAGGTCGGCAGCTCTGGGCTGACGGGGCCCGCGCATGGGGTTCGCCCGGGAAGCCCGCCCCCCGGGGCTGGCGGATGGGGGTCCGACGGTGCCGGCTGCGATGCCTGTGTATGTGAGCGGTATGTGTGTGGCTGTGTGTGTATGTGAGTATGTGAGTGTGTCTGTGTGCATGTCTGTGCGTGTGTGCATGGCGTGTGAGCGTGTGCGGTGTGAGCACGGTGTGTGTGGTGAGCGTGTGGTGTGTGTGTGTGTGTATGGTGTGTGAATACGTGTGAGTGTGTGTGGGCATGTGGTTTTGTGTGTGTATGTGTGCGGTGTGCGGGTGCGTGTGGGTGCGGGGTGGCACGCGGGTGGGCTGAGAGGCCGGCACCGTCCGCCCTGCACGCTGTCCCCAGCTGAGTGCCCTGCTGTGACCGGGGCCCTGCCCGGGGGCTTTCCTGGCCGACACGCTGGAGCAGAGTGGAAGGATTCCGTCAAAACGCAAACCCGTGTTCTGCGTTGACGTCTAGGTGCCGCTGGAACGGAAATGGCAGAGGCGGAGGCTTCTCCGCCTGGGGCCTCCCTGGACACTGGCCGCCCGGACCAAAGAGTGGCAGAAAACGGGTCCCGCCACACCAGCCATCACGGCCCGAGGTCTGTGTCCCTCCCAATTAACGTGCGAAGCCCCGAGGCCTAACGGGAGGCACTGGGGTTCGATGCGGTCATGAGGGTTGGCGCCACGATGGGGTCAGGGTCCTTATAAGAGGAGGAAGGGGCCAGAGCTGTCCCTCCGCCCTGTGGGACACAGGAGAGTGGCCGCCCGTGGCCCGGAGGAGGGCGCTTGGCGGCGCGCGGCTGCATCGGCAGCGTGGGGAGCTGGGGCCTCGTGAGTGCCCTCTGGCAGAGGCTGGAGGGGTCCCTGGGGCAGCGCCGGCGGGCCGTGCGCGCTGTCACCAGGTGGGGGCAGGGGCCGGCGGCTGTCTCCCACACCGCGTGTGTCCACGGGAGCCGCGGCCCCGCCCCGGGACATCAGCCCTCTCCAGGTGAGCGGCGGCAGAGGTCTGGGTGCCAAGCCCTCCCCGGAACATGGGGATGCTCTAATTTGCTAGCGGAACGAGGTTGGACGCTGGTCCCTGTCCCACCCCTGGTCCGTGTCCCCGCTGGCTGCTCGTGTTAGCATCGCAGTCGGGGAAGCAGCTGGACATGCTACTGGCCACACGGAACTGAGCACACGAGAGCCCAGCGCATACCCAGCGGCCGGGGGAGGGCAGGACCCTCGGACCGCCCAGGAGCCAAATCCCGAAGAGGGAACGAGGACAGGGTGTCCCGAGAGTGGGCATAGTGAGTGTCTGTCGCCCAGAACGGCACATGGAGGGAATGTGTTTATTTTGATTTGATGAAGCTTGGATACAAAATCAATGGCTGTTCAGTTACGTAAGACCAAGTAAATGTGCCAAGAAATTGAACTCAGCCGATGGGGACAGTGAGGCAGGGCGGCCCCGGGGCGGGGCGGCTCGCTCCCGGGGCGTCACCTACCTTGGGGTAGTGGTAGGACTTCACGGTGGGGTACACGGCGCCCGTGTAGGTCGGGAGCTCCATGACGGGCACACGGGAGTCATTGATGGTGGCGTAGGCGAGCCTCGTGCCATCTGGGGACCACCAGTGTGCGATGTGGGTCTTCAGAATCTCCTCTGAGGGAAAGCACAGCGGAGAGACGTGACGGTCAATGCCCGGGGCGGGACCCACGACGCACAGGCACCGCCGCGAGCGGCCAGGGCGGGTGACGCCCGGGGACACTGCGCCTCTGCGGCCCCGAGAGGCCGGTCCTCCCGGCCTCCCCCACCGGGGGCTCCAGAAACGCCCTGCGCTGAGGCCAAGCTCGGACCCTCGATCCTGATCGATCGCAGCCTTGCCGAACAGAGGCCGGCTGCCTGGAAACCGTTTCTTTTTGGACACGAACTGGCGCAGGATGAACCTACCAAGTGCTTTTTGAATTGAGTCAACATTGCGCTGTTGAGGGTTATTATTTGAAGATGATCTGAACGACCAATCAATTCATGAGGAAGCAGGTCAGCGAAAGCGCGAGCCGGGCGGCAGGCCGCGTCCTGGGGAAACCCTGAGCCGCTTGCTGGGGACGCCTAGGGTGCGTGCCTACTGTGTGTATCCTGTGTGTATCCCGTATCCTCCGCAGCCAGCGAGGTGACTCCCAGGGGCGTTTGGAACGAGGTGATTCAGCAGTGACCCCCCCAGGCCCACCGATCTGTCCAGGGAGCAACCGACCCCACGGATCTGGCGGGAAAAGGAGGCACCTTTACAAGGCAGTTTGCAGATGTCTCTGCTCAATCCCTTCGGGGCCGCGGGGCTGGACGGGGCGGGGGCAGTCAGGGTGCCAGGACCCCCCGGGAGGGAGCGGAATGCGCGGGCACAGGGAGACGGGTGCGGAGCCCCCCCAGAACCCGCGTGGGAGCCGGGCCGTGGTTCTCACGCACAGTAACTCACCGCCGACCCCGGAAACCACCAGAAAGACGCCGGGGGCACCAAAGGGACATAGGCAGAAACAAACGCCGCCCGAGACAACGCCTTGTGTCTTGTCCCCGAGCCCAGAGCAGTCTCCCGGCAGGACAGAGCTGACGAACGGACACCCTTGGGCAAAGTCCGGACACCTTCCTGATCAGCCAGGCCCTGAAAGCTGTGGCCAGCGGAGGCAGGGCTCGGTGTGCTTCTCGTTTCCCCGCTCCGGTCTGTCCCATGCCTGGACTTGCCCTCACGCCTAAAGGGGGCTGCAGCTTCGGTCTGGCCTGCACGGGGTGGGGGCGGGGGAGGGGGGAGGGAGCTCATGGGCAGCGGGCCAGGCCTGAAGAATAACGTATTTCTGTCGATTCCAGCAGCACATGCCCGGCATTTCCTCTGAGTTCAAGTCACTGCTGAGAGTTCAGACTAAGGACGCCTTCCGACTACCCAGTGTGCTGATCAGAAGGGAACTTAGAGACCAGGGGCGACCAGCACGTGGGTGTTGAATGGCAGATGTTAGTTCAATTTCACGTCATCCCAGGGGCTGGCCAGTCAAAGGAATTCTGCCCCCCGTACAACACCGGGGGGCCTCCGCCGTGTCCCCCAAATGCCCCGGCGCGCGTTCCGCCCGGGCCCTTTCCTGCGTGTTGGCTGCTCACAGGACAGACAGTTAAGTAAGAGAAAGCGAGGCAAAGGGACCAGGCAGACGGAGCCTTGGCATTTTGGCGCCAAGTACACATGCGCCCCGTCTGCAAACACTTCCTTCAGGAGCTGCGGCTTAGCCAGGCAGGTGGCTGCCGGGCTGCGACCCAGAGGTCGCTTAGGAACAGGCTGCAGAGGAAAAAAAAAATCCAATTCCACCGAGTACATTAACTGCTCGAACCCTTGCCTGGAAGCGCCTTGAGAAACTTGCCTTTCTGTGCACGGGCAGATGCCTTGGGATAAAACGGCGGATGCATCTCCCTTCTCCTGCCCTGTCCTGTCCAGGGACGAGTCTGTGGGCACAAAGGGCCACATGCTCCCCCTGCCCCGCCCCGGGGGCCCGCGTGGCGGACGCACACGCTCCGAGGCCGGCAGTAACCCCGCGGGAGGGTCTGACAGGAAGACTAGACTTTCTAACCATCGGAGGCAGGTCGTGGTCAAATCCTGTCCCAGGCGCGGACCTTCCCCTTCCTTGGCTCTGTCTGTCGTCTGTTTGCGTCTATAATAACACACCTTTGAACGTCACGGTGATTTCCTTTTTCGGCCCCAGAGAGAGACCACAGACCCCTTATTGTTACTGCTTTTATGTTAACTCCTGCCTGGGCCCACCTGCGTAAGAAGCAGGCGGCTGTCATTTTACGTTCGATCCAATCCCAGAGCTTTCCCCTCTGCCTTCTCCCGCCTCCCTCCTCGGCCACCCGCGGACTTCACGTAACCCCCCTTAGGATTTCCCCTTTGACGGTGATGGATAAAGTAAGAAGAGAAACTGCCATTTTCTGGAGTATTTGCTGTAGTCCATTGAGGTTTTGCATCCCAGCAGCTCTCGTTGGTGTGGCTCAAATAAACTCGCAAAAGTTCTTAGAGGCCTGGACGTTTCTTACGTTAAGTCAAACAAGAAAAGCGCGTTTGGGGACACTGGCTTGTCCCGATGGCCTCTCCCTTGAAGTTTTATCCGTGCCCACACAGTGGAATCTGGGCCAGTGTTCCTCGCCTCTCGTCCCCGTATCTTGACGAAGCCACGTGCACACTTTGGGGTGTCGCTCAAGCATGTCGGGGCTCACCCAGCACATTCAAATCCCCTCTGCTGGGTGCCCAAGGCCTGCCCGGCCGAGAAGGGGGATTCTCGTGGTTTCCGGATGGTGCGGCAGGTGCGGCGGGGGAGGAGCCACCGACCACCCTCTCTGAGAGTCACCTGGTGGCGTTAGGGCGATGCCCAGGGAAGCTGTGGGAGCCGCGTGTGCTTCTTGGTGCGGAGGCTCGGGCCCCGCTGCGGGCGGAACGACCAGGACTTGGGGCTGGGGAGCCCACGGGCCCCTTTTCTGCCAAAGCTCTTGGCGCGCATTCCGGCCAGGACGACGCGCCGGCTCCCGGGGGGCAGCCGCTGAGCCACCCGTGGACACGGGCGACCGGGCCGAGGGGCTGACGCAGGGCCGTGCCGGCCTGGGAGGGCGGGGGGAGAGGCACAGCAGGCACCCGGAGGCCGGAACTGAGGCCGCGTGACATCTCTCTCACGGCTACAGCCAGAGGTTTCCCGGACACACAGGACAAGCCCGGGCGGAAGTGTGGCTTCAAGGGGTCCCTGGTGGCTTCGGGACGCGCAGACCGGCGGCTTCGGGGAGCCCGGACTTGCCGCTGAGCGCTGGGCGTCCTGTGACCCTGCAGCAGGGGTCCCTGGGGGCGGCGGGGGCCACCGCCCCTGGGCGAGCCTCCCCCGGTCAGGGGCACGCAGGCCGAGTCCGCGCGTGAGGGTCCCGCCACGCACACACCACCGCCAGCTGTGTCCGCTGGGGCTGCGGGGGCGCGGGGCCACCTGAGTGGTCAGAGGTCACGGGCGCGCTGATGCCGGCTGACAAGACTCAGAGTTCTCATTCCCCTGTCGCCTGCTCTTCTGCCCTGGACTCGTGGCCCCTGTCGGCGGCGGCGGTTCAGCGCCGGGGCAGCCAGCTCCCGCTCCGTGCCCGTCCGGGGCCTGGGCGGTCTGTCGGGAACGCGGTTTTTGGCAGAGGCTCACGGTTTCTCAGAGGCGAAATGCCCCGGCGCCGGCTGCTCCCCGAAAGCAGACCATCAGGGGCTTCGGGACTTTTAATTGCTGCAGAGGCGGCTGACCCATTGCTTAGAGCAGGAGGTGCACAGGAGGGCCAGACCTGCGAGCTCGGCCAGGCGCGACGCTGTTTCTCCCGAGGCCTCAGGGAAGGTCAGTCTTTGGGCTGCATCGCCAAGCTTGGTGCACGAGTAAACCACCAGGTGAACGACTTTGGGGAAGATCTTAGGGTACCCAGTGGCCTGGGGGAGACAAACAACCACCGACACATCTTCTGAAGCTGAACCCACAAAAACCTCTTGACACAATTTTGGATTATCATGCTCTCTTTTCCCGGGAAGTCATTTACACTTTAGTATGAAGTACTCCACTGAGCTCAACACCTTGCTGAGGGTGCTAGGCTGTATTTTCCAAAATGGGCCCTGGGTGTACTTCTGCTCTCACAGGTTCTTCCAGGAGGTGACACTCTCACCATGAGCAGGTGACATCTGTGTCCCTTCCCCGTGACCCGGGGCCGTCTTTGAAGTAGCCGGAGCCACCAGAAAGTGCTGGAGGTGATGCGACTTCTAAGGTCACAGGAGGTGGTGTGGCTCCCCCCGACTCTCTCTTGTTGGGGATGCTGCCCCTTGAGATCACCCTCCATGCGTGGGGGAGACCGGGCCGAATGGAGAGGCTCAGGTGTCAGCCCACGGCAGCGTCACCTGGGGACATGCCCCTGCTCAGCCTTGCCAGACATGCAGAGGCCACTGTTTCAAGCCGTTCACTTGGATTCTGGCTCAGGTTTAGTTCAGGATAGTAAGACATCGAGGGAGAAAGAATGCCGGCTTCTGAGGCTCCTCGTTATATGTGACCCTCTTTCAGTGGGTTTCCTCATCTTGGCTCTTCGTTTTCACCTTGGGGGCTTCAGGAAGCTTCCAGAACTTACGGTGATGCCGACGATGCCTCCCGCTTACCTGCTCCACATCCGGGCAGGTAAGCGAGTCAGCAGTGTTCTCTCACTTCTCGTTCGTTCCTGAGTTCGCTGGTTCATTTGCACCGAAGCATCTCCCTTTGGGGTCTGTCGCCGGATCAGCTTGGGTGGTGTGCTTCCCAAGGCTCGGGCGGGGGCCAGAGACACTGGCGACTCCGGGATCGGTCCTGCGGCCAGCCCTGGGTCCGTCCCTCCCTGCCTGTCCCCTCCTATGACTGGCCGTCCCTCGTGCCGAGTCGGAGGGCAAGGCTGACCGGAGGCAAAATGGTGCCTAAAACGAAGGCGCACAAAGCCCTTCGCCGCGGCCCCTTTCTCCACGCAGGCTGGGCAGCAGCCTCACTGCCCCCCGTATCAAAACTCACAGGCAGCCCCCGCTGGCGTGGCCCGGTGGACTGAACGCCGGCCTGCGGGCCAAAGGGTCGCCCGTTCGATTCCCGGTCAGGGCCCAGGCCTGGGTTGCAGGCCAG